GTCGCCAGCCCTGCAAGCACAAGGACCCGAGTTTGATCCCTGGTACCAAAAAAAAAGAAAGAAAGCAAAAGAAATTTCTTGACTCTCTTTACAAATAAAATGGTCTTTCCTAAATGGAATTAGTCAAGGATGTGTCTATCTCTGAAGTATACTTTCTCTATCCATAAGGTGTTTTCAGGTAGAACAGATTTGCATGGACCTTACGATGGTCTCCTCACCATCCGCTCCACTCCTTCTCTGAGCAGCAGACACCTGCTTTAGATGGGATTGGCCTTACTGCCAAAACTTTTCTATAGATGCAGCCTTAACCAGCCCATGTAATCCCATTTTAATTGACATATTTACTTGTCCAGGGATAGACTTAGAATACACACTGGCCCACAGAAGAAAGTAGAGTTCTGTTTATGGCTGGCTGAAGACAAAGTCCTTTTATTTCTAGGGACCCATATGAATAAAGAGGCAGGAGTCAGCAAACCACTAGCTTGCTGAGAAAACTCAGCCTTGGATAGTCAAGCCAGAGAAAGACAGATCCAAGAAAATTATAAACATAGGTACAGTGCTGATGACATTGTGAACTTCTAGACAAAGGCTAGGCTAAAGCCTACAACACTGGATTTGTTATGTGAGGGAATGGATTTATTTTTAAGCCAATTTGCACTGGATGATTTTTTTTTGATACTTACAAACAAAAGCACACTAACTCATACAAATATATTAACTCAATATCCACACAAAATCATTTCAAATATTACTAGAAAGAAGGCTATAATCCCATACTGTATTTACCTGGAAAGCCCACAAGTTTCTGTTCGTTGTTTTCTCAGTGTGGTATCTTCCCTGGTTTGTGTCTACTTTCATTATCAAAATATTCTGCTTAAACAATAAATTATGCGGTGACCTTATGTCTAATTTACCTTGCAACTCTTTTCTAAAAAAAGAGACATACATAAAAGGCAATCGTTCTAATATAGAAGAAAAATTACTTGCAGCGAGATAGCCTATGACATTTTTTACCACATATACAACATTAAGGCTTGAGGCAGGTACAGCATGGTAACCCCACCCCAGGAAAGGTGAATCACTTCTCCTGTCTGCTGTCTTAGCACAGCAAAGAGAGCCAGATTTTTCTCTTCACCCCTCTACAAGTTCTCACAGGGAAAAGGTTTTCTTAGGAATTTTTTTTTTGCAGAAAACACACACACACACAGGAAAGTATTAAAAAAAAATCCAAAAAACCTTTTGGGCCAGGGATTTAGCTCAGCGGTGCTGTACCTGCCTGGCAAGCACAAGGTCCTGAGTTCAATCCCCAGTATGGGGTGGGGTGGGGGGGCTTCTGAGGCAAATATTTTTGATGAATTGGTGACAAACATGCAGAATTTCAAAAGTCATATATTTTCCTAATGCTATGACTGACCTATAAGAAAATACATTAGGATGATCCCCTTTTATAAAAATTAAAGTAAAACATGAACTATAAATAGGGTGATCATATAACTTATCATTCAAAGATTAAGGACAAATTCAAGAGGCTGAAGTGTTGTATTTAATAAAACAACCCAAATAGGGTTAATTTTAATGAATACATCAGATATGACCTGCTATCAAATATTTTTGCCAACTCAAAATAATTTTTTCCTAATAAAACATTTAGACCATTTCAAATTAATGCTAAATAAAGACAGTACAATAGAAGCAATATTTTTAGCTCCATATGGAAAGTTGGACTGCTAGAATTTTAAGACTAAAAAAAAAAAAAAAAGTCATTTTTTTAAATCATAAAAATTAGAGCAGAGGCCAGGTGTGCTGATACACGCCTGTGATCCCAGCACTCGGGAGGCTGAGGCAGGAGGATCACCACAAAGTTCAAGGCCAACCTGGACTACATAGTGAGTTCGAGTCCAGCCTAAACAGGACTCTGTCT